ATCATACAATTAGAACTATTAATGTGATAGCTATTTCATATCTTTTAGCTTTAACACAAACTAATCCAATTTAAAATGCTTAATTAATAAATGTTAATCAGCCTATGTTCCAATGATCTCCAAAGTCTTCATTAAATCTTTTAATTTTATGAGAATTTTTTTTGTGTGGGCTACTGCCTGCAATAAATGGACTTCCGGCCAGGGCTTACAAATTTTTATATTATGAAGATTTACATGGTAAATATAGAATGATTATGAGGTCCAAGGAAAAAAAAGAGACTTATGCACTATCTTGAAATCTGGGAAACAAAACAGAAGAATTTAGAATGTAATGAAATAAATATATGTGGGTTACTTCCACAATGCAAAGCTGAAATAAAAGTAAACCTCACTATGAGATAGATAGGTTCCTGAAAAATAAATTCTAGCAAACCTACTCTATGTTAATTAAGTTCAAGATAGAAAAGATAACATCAAAGTTATTTAAAATATTAAAATTATTGAGGGTATCTTTCATGAAGATACTATTAAAAGTTACTAAGGTATATTTCAGGGCAGTATGAAAAAGGATAATTTTTTTAATTCTATGAAATTAGGGATGATATACTTAAGAATAAACACCATTTCATGAAATCCTAGAATACTTAATTTTGGATCTCTGTAGCATCTGCTATTATTTTCCCTTTATCATTTCTGATTGAGGTTATTAGAGAATTTGCTTTTCTGTTTCTACTTAATCTGGCCAAAGGTTTATCAATTCATTTATTTTTTTGAAAAACCAACTTTTTGTTTCATTAATTTTCTGAAGTATTCTTTTCAATTTCATTAATCTCTGATTTAATTTTGGTCATTTCTTTACTTCTGCTGGATTTGGGATTGGATTGTTCTTCTTTTTGCAATTCCATAAGATGGTTCATGAGTTTGTTGATGTGCTGTCATTCTGGTTTTTGAATGTAGGCATCTAATGCAATATATTTCCCTCTTAAGACTGCTTTTGCTATATCTCACAAGTTTTGGTAACTTGGGTCATCATTGTTATTATGTTTGAGGAATTTAACAATTTCCTCTTTTATCTCTTTCTGAACCAAACTATCCTTCGGCATAAGGTTGTTTAATTTCCAAGTCTTTGTGCAGGGATGAATGTTTTTGTTGGAGTTGAAGTCCATCTTCATTGCCTTGTGGTCTGAGAAGATACAACGTATAATTTCTATTCTTTTAATTTTCCTGAGGTTTCATTTGTATCCTAGGATGTGGCTGATTTTGGAGTATGTACCATAGGCTAATGAGAAAAATGTTTATTCTTTAGCTTTGGGATGGTATGTTCTGTATATGTCTATTAATCCCATTTGTTAAAGGGTCACATGTAAGTCCTTCGCATATTTGTTTAGTTTCTGTTTAGAGAACCTGTTCAGTTCTGTCAGAGGAGTGTTAAAGTCCCCGGCTCTTATGGAATATCATATTGCTCAGACCCATCAACGTCTGTGTCATAAATCTGGTAGCATTGAAGTTGAGTGCGTAACTATTTAAAATTGAAATGTTTTCTTGTTGTATTGTTCCTTTGACCAGCATAAAATGTCCATCTTTGTCTTTCTTAACTTTAGTTGCTTTAAATCCACTTGTATCTGATAATAAGATTGCAACCCCTCCTTTCTTCTGATTTCCATTTGCTTGAAATACTGTTTTCCATCCCTTAACCCTGAGTCTTGATTTGTCCTTCAAGATTAGGTGTGTCTCCTGGAGACAGCATATAGATAGCTTGTGCTTTTTTATCCAATCAGCCAGCCTGTGCCTCTTCAGTGGGGAATTCAGTCCATTGACATTTATTGAGAGAATTAATAAGTGTGGTGTAGTTCTATTCATCTTATTTTGTGAAAGTCTGTTGTGTAGTTTTATTCTTTGCACGATCATGGAAGCTAAGTTTTGACCTTTATCTTCTGGGTGTTTATTTTGCTGGTGGTCCGTTGTGGTGGTCAGTGTTGCAAATAGGTCTAAGTGTTTCCTGTAGAGCTGGCCTTGTTGTGGCAAATTTCCTCAGTGCTTGTATATCCACAAAAGATTTGATTTCTCCATCTATTTTCAAGCGTAGATTAGTAGGGTATAGAATTCTGGGCTGAAAATTGTTTTGTTTAAGAATGTTGAAGTTGAGGCGGTGCCTGTGGCTCTAAAGGGTAGGGCACCAGCCCCACATGCTGGAAGTGGTGGGTTCAAACCCAGCTCCAGCCAAGAAAAGAATGTTGAAGTTCGATGACCATGCTCTTCTGGCTTGGAAGGTTTCAGTTGAAAAGTCTGGTGTCATCCTAATGGCTCTGCCTCTGTAGATCAGATGGCATTTACTCCTAGCTGCTTGCAGAATTTTTTCTTTCTTTTTGACTTAGGACAAGTTTATTACAATGTGTCTTGGAGAGGCTCTATTTGAGTTGAGATGACCTGGGGTTCAATATCCATCTGAAAGGAGTATGTTGGGCTCTTTAGTGAAACTTGGAAAGTTTTCATTCATGATAGTCTCCAGTAGGGTTTCCATTCCTTTGGGATGATCTTCTTCCCCTTCAGGAATGCCTATTATTCATATGTTTGAATGCTTCATGGTGTCTTATAGTTCTCTAAGCACCTGTTCTGCTTTCTCTCTCTTCTTTTCTGCCTCTTTGACTACCTGGATTAACTCAAAAATTTTATCCTCTAGCTCTGAGTTATTTCTTCTCCATGGTCTAACCTATTTTTGATACTTTCTACTGCACCTTTATATTCCCTGATTATCTCCTTCATTTCCTTAAGCTCTGCCTTATCTTGTCTATATTCTACAAATCTCTCATCTGACTTTTGATTCTGTTTTTCCATTTCTCTCATCCATTCCTTTTATTGTCTTTATCATCCATCTTTTAACTTCCCTTTCTGTCAACTCCATTAATTCTTTATAAGTGGAGTATTCTGCAGTAGCTGCCTCATGGTCCCTTGGGGGAGTTCCTCTGTTTTGGTTTTTCATGTTGCCTGAATTTTTCTATTGGTTCCTCCTCATGTGTTCTTTTTTCTTGTTCACTTCCTTGTTCTCCTTTTTACTTCTCATTGCCTCCTTTGTTTTAAACAGAAATTCTTGCTCTTGAAGACAGTATATTGCAATGTGTTGCTGAGACAGTTGGTGCTGCGATGTTTTTAGCAGACAGAGCACACAGCCAGCAACCTCTTTGGTCCTTATTTGCCTTGCGTGATTGTCTGATTGTTTCCTCAGCATTCAGACCCTGCCAGGTTGGTATTTTAAAGTTCACAAGAATCCTTCAGGGACAGGTCTCACAGTGCCCTCTGACTCCAGTTTCCTCTGACTCCAGTTCCCATGGGGTTCAGGAGTCCCTCAGCCTGTCCCAAGAGTGGATTTCTGATCCCAGCAGGCAAAATTATGATGGCTATGCTTTAGGCCCTGCTAAGACCTTCTCCTGACCTTCCTACAATAGCCCCTGGTCACCAAGACCTTCTCAGTGTGACTGCCTTGCCAGCCACCAAACCTATGGCAAGTCCACTCCAACTGGCATTCAAATCTGGTTGCTCTATATGAGATTCAAGTCCATGCACTCTTCCAAGCTTCCTACTCAATGTGCAGCTTCCCCCAACAACTGAAAATTCTGGAAAGGCTTCCACCCCTGCTCTGTGGCCAGCCAGCCAATCCCCGCTGGTTACAATCACTTGCCTAATTCATCAGATTTCTACTGTTCTGAATCATATACTGTATCCAGCTCACCATCTCCTCACTATGCTCCTTGAGCTGACTCAGGGTAAGGTCCTCGCACCAGGTATGGGTTCTCTCTTTTTCCCCAGTCATTCTAAGAGAGCTTAATGGAACAATCCTTCTGGTCCAGCATCTAGCTCCACCCACACACCCCCAAAACTACACTCCTTTAACATTGGACTACAGACTTCAATAACTCTATAAAGTGAGTCCATACAACTAAATATAGGAAAAGTGAGTCTTTGAGGACTGACTGATTCACCCAAATAAACCTAGATAGCAGGGAAAGTAAAACCAAGTCTTCTGATTCAGCTTTTAAATTCAGTATTCTTTCTACTACATTAATATTAGGTATTCTCAAAGCAAGACATGTCTTTGCTCTGCAGCAAGAACCCATGCAATTCTCCTTGGTAGCTTAGGTATTTCTTTGACTTACTGCAGGAAACCAAATTACAAAAAGAAAAAAGTACCAATACATTCAAATTTTAAATCACACAGAAATTGAGATATAGCATAACTGATCTACCTGCATGCAACAAAAGGGACTAAGGAATGATTAAAAACTGAACTTTGAAGTCTGACTAGTCAAGTTCAAATCCCAGCTCTACTGCCTACTGATTACATAATCTTATTTACATTCATGTAAGCTTTCTATGCCTCAGTTTCTTCATCTGTAAAATAAAGATAATAATAATACCTACCGTATATTTTTACTGTGAGTATTAAATAATTTATTGTGTAAAATACACAAAACAATGAGTGCCTAGTATATGGTGAGCACTTAATAATTATCAGCTGCACTGTTACTTTGCATAATAAAATATGCTTTTATTCATTATGAAAAACATATTTAAGCTTTCTTCTTCTATTTTAAGAAATAATTTTTTAAAAAAGAAATAATTATTCCTTCTTCCCACTATTTTTCCCTAGAATAAGTTCTATTTCTTTTCAGCATATATCCATCATTAGCCACTGAGCATTATTCATTAGTCATAATCTACTCAATAAATATCACTTCATCTATAGAACATTTAACTTTTCTATCATTGGCCTTGCAATTTATTGAAAAGAGTCTAGAATTTTTATCAATACTTCTATAATTTTACATGTAGAGATCCACCATTTTAGATAACTTGAGATTCAAGAAAATCTCAAGTTGCCTCCTGTTTGTCAGTTTTAAGACCAAGAAAGAAACTAATATAAGGGGAAAATTCAAATACAGAGAAAATACATGATATCTGAATCATGCACTTTTGTTGTATGCTCAGTTGTATTTCCAGGTTGCATGAATGAACAACTTGCAAGAAAATCAGTTTCCAAAGCCCAGATTCCAAAAACTAGAAGCCTTACAAGGTCTCAGAATAGCCAAGAAGAAAACAAGGCAGCACTAAAGAACGAAGTCATGTTTACAGGTTCTCGTGAATCCTTGGCATCAACACACAGAAAGGAGTCAAAAACAAAAGCAAAAGGCACTCGTTTAGAGAAAGACAAGATAGGAATGGAGGTCAAGGTAGGCAGCAGCACAAGAATGGGAAAAACACAGGAAGCCCAAGTAAAAAAGAGTGAGTCTGGAATACTAAAAAGACAAGAAACCCGAGAAAGGAAGAGTGAGATGGATAAAAGACGAGCATCTCAAGTAAAGATTGAGGTAAGGACACCAAAAAGACAGGAATCCCAAACAAAGAGGAGTGAATCAGTTGTACCAAAAAGACAAAAATCCCTAAAAAGAAAGAGTACCAAAAGTGTACCAAAAGGGCAGGAATCCCAAGAAAGGGTGATTAAGGTGAGTATGCCAAAAGATCAAGAAGTCCAAGAAAAGGAGAGGAAGAAAAGTATACAACAAGGACAGGAAGGTCAAGAAAAGAAGAATGAGGTGGGTGCACCAGAAGGACAAGATCAAGAAAAGAAGAGTGAGGTGGATGTACTAATACAGGAAGTTCAAGAAAAGAAGAGTGAGGTGGATGTACAAATACAGAAAGTTCAAGAAAAGAGTGAGGTGGATGTACTAATACAGGAAGTTCAAGAAAAGAAGAGTGAGATGGATGTACTAATACAGGAAGTTCAAGAAAAGAAGAGTGAGGTGGATATACTAATACAAGAAGTTCAAGAAAAGAAGAGTGAGATGGATGTACTAATACAGGAAATTCAAGAAGAGAAGAGTGGGGTGGGTATACCAAGACAGGAAGGTCAAGAAAAGAAGAGTGAGGTGGATGTACCAGGACAGAAAACTCAAGAAAGGAGTGAGGTGGGTGCACCTGGAGAACAGAAAGATCAAGAAAAGATTGAGGTGGGTGCACCTGAAGAACAGAAAGATCAAGAAAAGAGTGAGGTGAGTGTACCTGAAGAACAGGAAGCTTAAGGAAAGTAAAGCAAGTGAAGAAAGTAAACAAAAAGGTAAAAGAGTAAGGATAAATAAAGGAAGTCCCAGAAGACAATGATCATTAAAATGAATCCCATACTTCTCCAGCCACTGCCTAAATGGATTATAATTATAAAATCCCCCATAAAATATCTGCAGCATTTCTGCTCTTCAAGTTTCATCATTTTTAGACCTCTTAGCCACAATCCTCAACCCCACATAGTTGCTTTATTTGGGGTCAAACACTGGAGTAAAATACTTTAATTAAAGAAATGTTTAATAATTTTCTTTGAGAAGTATCTCTATGATAGCCTACCCAACCAACCAACCAATAATTCCTCATAGCAGGCTTAATGTTTGCAAGAAGCTGTTCTAAGCAATAAAAGGTATTGGGGGTGGGGGAAGGATATGTGGAAAAATACAAGTCAGAGTCCTTGCAACTAAATAGCTTGTATCATATATAGCAATATATGTATACATGGCAATTATTTTAAAAAGTAAAATCTAAGTGTCAGAAAACTTAGAGGGACAATATAATCCATCTTGGGATGAGAAAGTAAAGGGGACAACTTCATGAGGAAGGTAGTAGTGGAGTAAGACATGTTTTGAAAAATGGCTAAGATATTGATATGCTGAGTGAAGTAGAAAGAGTAGAAGAAAGTCAAAAGGGTTGAAGGCTATGGTGTCATGCTGTAGGGGCAACAGACTCAGGGGAGACATTCTGGGGTATGATTTTGAAAAGGAAGAGGTGGGCTCGGCGCCTATGGCTCAAGCTGCTAAGGCGCCAGCCACATACACCTAAGGTGGTGGGTTCGAATCCAGCCCGGACCCGCCAAACAACAATAATGGCTGCAACCAAAAAATAGCCAGGCGTTGTGGCGGGCGCCTGTGGTCCCAGCTACTTGGGAGGC